CACACACAGTCTCTCTCTCTCTCACACACACACACACACACACACACACACACTGAGCTGCAGTCTGTGTGTGTGAGACAGAAACATGATTGACAGCCAGAAAACTACAGCTGACTTCCTGCTGCAGCCTGGCCCCGCCCACTCTGGAAACTCCTGACGGGGGCGGGAAACTCTGGTCTGAGCAGCTTCCTCCAAGTTCTGCTGACTGTCACACACACACACACACACACACACACACACACAACATCTGTTTCCTACAGCTGAGAGTTTCTCTAAATAACTGCACCAAACTATTCAAAATTCAGCCGTTTTAATACGAACATGCACAATAACAACGTGCTGTGTTTTATCATTAAATACTTGAATTAGCTGTTTGGGTCAGTTCATGTGAACATTACAATGTTGGAGTTTGTTATGGATTTGTATTAAGATCATTAAATTAGTAAATTCTCTAATTATCCTTAAATTGGTGGATATCTGAATGAGGTTTGGTGTGGATTTGTCTATTGTTATAATTAAATTGGTAAATACTTGAATATAATATAATACTTCAATCATTCAATAACCGAGTTTCCATCCGAAGATAAACAAAAAGAAGCTGAGTTCAAACAGGATGAATGTGAGGAAGGTTTTATTAGATCTGTGTGCAGCGAGGTTCGTCTCACATTATCCTTAAATTGGTGGAAATCTGGATGAAGTTTTGTCTGATCATTAAATCAGTAGATATTTGAATGGGGTTTGGTGTGAGTACTGCTCTTGTTTCCCTTCGGCTGCTCGAGGTGCACAGTGACAGTCAGGAGGAATGAGGAACTGTAACACGAGCGAGTACACAAGCTGTATTTACGTGTGCGAACGTGTGAAAATCAACCACCTGACTGACTCACCTGGTGATCTGAGGATGTAGGAAGTTCCCAGGACTGTTTGTTAACCACCTTGTCAGTGCTTTAAATCATCTCATACGCAGAGAGAAAACACATTCCTCAGTTTCCGTGACTCAGCTGTTGTGAATACCGACTGTTTGTGGTTATGTGGATGAACCCTGGAACAATATCTGTAATCGCTGGAAATTCAGGAGGATGATGACTGGTGCTTAATCAGTGGAAGAAGTTACAGGACAAAAGCAGAATTTCAGGGATCGAACGGACAAACTGACCAAAGTCGGTCTCAGCTGCTGCTCTGAAACCTTTCGTTTGGTCTGAGGTTGTTTCTGGTTTGAACATTAAGATGTGTATTGATGAACCTGAATGCACATTATTTACAGTTCAGTAGAGAGTAAGGAGGGATCGTAATCATTGTATGAACAGGTGTTAAACTATATTCTACTTTATTAAACTGGTAGATTATTGAATGGAGTTTGGTTTGAATTGGTCTCACATTATCCTTAAAATTTAATGGAGCTTCTTATGGATTTGTTGAATGTATGGATTTGTTTCATTAAAATAGTAAATAATTGAATGGGGTTTGGTGTGAGTTGGTCTCACATTATGAATAAATCAGTGGCTATGTGACTTTGTCTTTATGAAGCTGGTGTTAAACTACATTCAGTGTGAATCTGCAGGTACTCTCCCTCTGCTCACCAGCAGGCGCCAGATATCCTCCTAAGTTACAGTGTAAGAAACATTTTAAACTTAAAACTCATTTGTTTGCTTTAACTTTTAATTAGTGCTGATTCTCGGATTACTTCAGGCCTCACACCTGGCACCAGTTTCTGCAGGCGGGTCAGTCTCAGTGAATCTCCGGTCCGTATTCGTTTGGAAGAAGACTGAAACTATCAGGAAACTGTTTACTGAGATCATTAATTATACTAGAAGTCGTCTTGTTTCTCCATAAGTCTCGATACTATCAGAGTGGAGCTCCGCCTGCTGGCCGTTACACAGACTGCACACAGACAGAAGCTGTGTCCACCCTCACTGTCTGCACTGAATCAGGTCTGTAGGTCATGTGGCCTGTTTCCTGTATGTCCCGGCGGACGCTGCCCTCCGGGACCGAACGCCGCTCACAGTCGTCACCGCTGCCAAGGTTACGGCGCTCCCGCTGCTACGGACGTTATTATTAAATCCTGGTTCTGCTTCTCCATCGGGATCCACTTTATTATTTCCATCTGCAGAGGAGGAGGCTGACACTACAGTACAGACACTACAGTACTGACACTACAGTACAGTACTGACACTACAGTAC